GGGTGGATCGCGAGGTCAAGAGATCGAGACCATCCTGGTCAACATGGTGAAACCCCGTCTCTACCAAAAATACAAAAAATTAGCTGGGCATGGTGGCGCGTGCCTGTAATCCCAGCTGCTCAGGAGGCTGAGGCAGGAGAATTGCCTGAACCCAGGAGGCGGAGGTTGTGGTGAGCCGAGATCGCGCCATTGCACTCCAGCCTGGGTAACATGAGTGAAACTCTGTCTCAGGAAAAAAAAAAAAAAAAAGAAGCTCAACTAGTTCAGGAGGATTCCTGTTATCAGCTCTGAGTTCACCCAATGTCTTTTGTTATAATTAAGGAATATAGCCAAATCCCTAGCCCATTTTATGAAGCCAGTATTACCCAGATACTGAAACCAGACAAAGTATATCTCAGAAGAATATGGGTGTAAAAATCCTCAACAAAGTACTAGCAAACCAAATGCAGTAACACCTAAAATAAATAATATATTTCATAACATCTAAAATAAATTATATAACATGACGGGGTGGGATTTATCCCAGGAGCAAGGTTGGCTCACCATCAAAAGTCAGTTAATGTGATGCATCATATCAACAGAATAAAAAACAAAAATCACACAATCATCTCAATAGATAGAGGTAAGGCATTTGACAAAAGCCAATATCCTTTTATGATTTTTTAAAACACACACATACTCCACAAACTAGGAATAAAGAGTAATTTCCTCAATCTGATATCTAGGATAAACTCACAGCCAACATCATACTTAATGGAAAAAGACTGGATGTTTTCCCTCTAAGATCAGGGACCAGACAAGGATTCCCACTTCTGTTTAACATTGTTAATGTTGGGCAATTGGGCAAGTAAAAGAAATAAAATACACTGGAGAAAAGATTGGAATAGAAGAAAGAGCATCTCTATTTGCAGATAACATGATCTTCTATGTATAAAATAAAACTTATACTCTGGAAACTACAAAATAGATATTCAAACAAAAACTTTTACGTGAATGTTCATAGCAGCATTTTAAAAATAATTGTCAAAAGGTGGAAACAACCCAAATGCCCATTAACAGAAGAATGGGTAAACAAACTGTGGTCTATTCATCAGCAGAAATATTATTCAGGCATAGCAAGGAATGAAGTACTGATACATGCTACAATTTGGATAAACCTTGAAACCTTATGCTAAATGAAAGAAGCCAGTAGCAGGTCCACATATGTTATTCTATTCATATGGAAGTCCAGAACAGGGAAATCTGTGGAGACAGAAAGTAGATTAGTCATTATTTAAGGCTAAGCATGGGGCAAGTGTGGCAGTGGTGAGGCCAGGGGATAGAGTTTCTTTTTGAAGTGATGACAATATTCTAACATTGACTGTGGTTGCATGTATTTGTGAATATACTAAGAGCCACTGAACTGTTCACTGCAAATGGCTTAATTGTATGGTATGTGAATTACATCTCAACAAAGCTGTTTTAACAAAAAGAATACAGCCAATATGTTTTGCCACCTTGAATCCCTCTGACATCTTCAGGCCTCCTTTTGCCATCTCCTTTTTACATCATTCCTGCTCACAGAAACTTTCATTCAGTATATGGTCTACTCCCCAGGGGACTGGATATTTCTCATTTTTGTTTTTCTTTGTAGCATCACTGTGGCTTCCACACACATTCTGTTCTTCCATTTGCTCTTGGCCACATCTCCAAATAATTTGGAGTTTGTTCATTTTCTCGGTTTCCTAGTGGTTGGGATTTACTTTTATTTTCTTATTTCTGTCTACTTGGTTTCCAGGAGGAGGAATATCAGGTTTAGATCTAGTTCTTGGCTGGATATGGTGGCCTACACCTGTAATTCCAGCACTTTGGGAGGCCAAGGTGGGAGAGTATTTCTGGAGGGCAGGAGTTTGAGACCAACCTAGGTAACATAGCAAGACCCCGTCTCTACAAAAATAAAATAAATTAGCCAGGCACAGTGGTGCATGCCTGTAGTCCCACCTATTCAGCAGGCTGAGGTGGAAGGATTGCTTGAGCCTAGCAGTTTGAGGCAACAGTGAACTGTGATTGCACCACTGTACTCCAGGATAAGTGACAGTTCAAGACCCTGTCTCTAAAAATTTTTGTTAATTATTTAAATGAACTAGTTTTTTTTCCTTAAAACTGTGTAATAGTCACTCTCAAGTTCTTTATGCTCTCAAACACAAAATGTGTTTTAGTCCACAATTTATTCTCCAGCCCTTCACTCTTCTTGGAAAAGTGCTTTAAGTCTTCTGTGCCGCTGAAGCTCTCTGTCTCCTAGGACCAATTCATACTACATGCTTTGCATGGAGTTTTCATGAACCCCTCAGACTGTGTCTATCAGTCTTCCCTCTACCCTCTCACACCAATTTTGTCGTATCTCTAATTAGAAACAGTTTTAAACCTTACTTTAAAAATGCAGAATGCTTTCTTATTACTTCTGAAATAAGGCCCAAACTCCATAGCCTATTTTTTAGGGCTTTTCCTAACAGGGTCCCTGCTTTATACATCCCCATCTGCCGCTAGTCTTTCCTCTCACTCTGTGTTCCTTGAATGCACAAAGATTATCTTTGCTTGATTGGCACGTGTTGTTTCCTCCGCTAGGAGATTCCCCTCCCCTTGCCCTGTCTTCTCTAGTGAGGCCCTGTGGAGGAAAAGTTAAATATTAAATTTGAACTCAATTGAACATGGACACAAACAGTGGTCACCAAGTCCCGGAATAGGTCATGTGAGCCCCTTGAAGCATTCATGCAGCACTGTTTCGGAGAAATCTCTGTTTCAATCTATTCTTATACGTTAGTTATTGAAAAAAATAGACGATCGCAAAAACAGGTTGACCTTTTTGTGTTCATTGAGCCCAGTCAGGAATGGCCCTCATGACTGGGCCTAATGCCAAACAACTTGTTACAGAAAGAGCCAAGGTCCCAGACAGTGCTGAAGCATCATGAGACCTCTCCGCATCTGGGCATGGATGGGTGGCCAACTCTGGAGCCCAAGCTGTTGCTTCCTGGTCTGGTGGTGAATCCTCCGTAGTCTGGTGAGTCCCTTCTCCCCTTCCCATTGCAATGTGCTTATTATATCATTTGCTTATTATATCTGCATTGCCATTTATGTGGGATAAAGGTTGTTTACCCTTAAAGGTATTGTGTATGTGTCTCCCCTTGTGTGTTTCCCACATAAAACAGCCCCTCAAGGGTCAGCTGAAGTACCATCTCCTATAGGAAATTTTCTCTTACAAACTAGTTTTGGTTTGGGCTCTTTAGAACTAGTTGGTTCCTTTTATAACCATGATCACCTTTATTTCCTACAGTATTGTAATTGCTTGTTTACTTTTCTGACTGTGAATTCCTTGACAGTAGGTCTAATTCCCCTGTGCTAAGCACAAAGCTAGATTCAGAGAGGCTTTTATATGTGTGTGTGTGTTTGTGTGTGTGTGCGCGCACTCCTGCCAAAGATTTATTTCTTCATTTCTTGCATCTGAAGGACTCTTCGATGACATCCTTGGCCTGAGATTCCTTGCCATAGTCCTTGACTACTACGCAACTGCAACCAACCACTTTACAGGGCTTCCCCTCTCTGTCAGTTTTACAGAGGCCAACCCATTCCCCTAGTTTCTTGTTGTCATCAACCTTAATGGGGTTGATTTGGTGTTCAGCACAAAGGGCCTCCACCAACTTGACATACATAGGCACATCACAGTTGGATAAAAGCACACAAAGATGGGCTTGGCGCTTGTCTGAGGCTTTGGCAGCTTCATGAATTCCACATGCTAGGCCATCGTGGATGAGGGCGGTCTTCAGTACCTCTTGTAAAGCAGTATTAATGTCCATTACACCTCCAGCAGCAGTGCCTTCCTCAGCCCTGACAGTGGGTTACGGGTGAAGTTGAATCTTGGACGCAACCGAGCCTCTGCCTCCGCATGACTTGGAGGTGGCAGGAAAAGAGCCAATATATTTTTTTAATAAAAGTACTTGCAGGCCGGGCGCGGTGGCTCAAGCCTGTAATCCCAGCACTTTGGGAGGC